AGTTGAGATCTTTCCCTGCCATTTCTGGCTGGAAGGAGACTCTATGAAAGTCTCTCCCAGCAGTTTCCAGTTCTGCAAAGTTAGTCTTAGCTATTATGCAAGTCCATACATTTGTTTTGAACATTGAAAATGTAATCTTTAGCAGTACACACGTCGACACTGCAAAAATATGAGAAACAGGCATATGAGAAGGCACTTAGCAGTCTCTGCTATAGTAGTATCCCATGTAATGAAAATTTCAGAAATTTTTGAGATCGACAAGAAAAGACCCTGAGATCCACAGGCCATTGCAGACATGACAGTATTGGGTGGCAGAGGATATAAGGAGCCTGAGAGAGTTGGAAAGACACCAAGGAAATATTAAAATTAGATATGAGCAGAACTTATAAAGATAACTTGTAAATCTCAAGATAGGTAGACTGTGAGGGATTTAAAAAAAATAATTGTTATGTGGGGATGGACAGTTCCGATATCCTGAAGTAATAGCTGGTTTGGGTTAGGACAAAGCAGGGAAGCAAGGAAATGCTGGGTAGATGTTAATTCTGTAGCAGTATATGGAGGAAAGGCTTGAGCTAGATTGGACCCAGAAAATATTTGATTGCTGGAAGAATTGGTTTATTTATCCTCATGAACTAAAAATATGTTTTAAACACCAATCTCCAATATATAAAGTCTGTAATTTATTTAATACTAATTTTATATGAAATACTTAAAAGTAGTTTTTTAAAAGATTGAGATTAAAATGTCATTATATGTGCTTACATTATTTTCCACATTCCATCTAACTGTATTGCTGACTAAGGTTCATGTCCATACCAAGGGCTTCCACTTTAGCATAGCTAAGGATGGTTATTGTTGGGAGAAATGTAAGCAGTCTAGCATAGGCACTGGCACTGAATTGATTCCTTCCCTGTTGGAAGCCTTCCTCTTAAAAATAAGAGCAAGGATGCTTAATGTCCTGAAGGAACTTTTGTAAATACTGTAAAACATAGATTAAATTTTGGAAATAAAAAGGCATAATGTCATTCAAAGATACGATCATGTAATATTTACCAAGGCATTTCATCCAATATTTTAACAAAGTCAAATAAGCAGAAAGTATACCAAGTAAAATATATTAAAGAATCACAGATTACGAGAAAAAGAAAAATAATGTGTTGAGTGATTTTTAAACTATGAGTCACTTAAAGATAGAGTACTAGATAGAGTTGAATTTGGAAAATTAAGCCATAAGAAAACCAGAAAAAAAATCATCTAGTTGAATTTTAAATGTGTGCAGATAAAAGAAGTCTTCAAACTTAGATTCATTTGGTGCAGAAATTTCAGAAATGTGAATAATTTCAAGAATGCCCATAGTATTTGTAGCTAACATATTTCTATCTGAAAAGCTTGTGTAATGGGCTTTTAAGAAGAAATGTCACTAACCCCTCTAAGAAGACATGGGCAGCTCATCAAAGTGGTCAGAATTCAAGTTCATGTGTAAAGGAACTGACAAAAATAGACCCAAGCTGGGCTAACTGAAAAGAAAGAGAAGTGGTTTGACCAGGAGAGGGTGTTTAGCCATACTTTTAATAGTGGTCAGAGTTGATGAAGAGTAACTAGTGTAGTCTTCCCAGATAAAGCCTTGGACAAGTTACAAAAGGATGTGGCTGATTTGGGGGTGTGGAAGAGAAGAGAGAAATGTAGTCTATTGGGTTTGGGGGTAAGAAAATTTCTGTCTATCCCATCTGAAATAAAGAACTATAGACGTAAATTGTAGTTTATTGGTATTGTAGTCACCTAGCGTGGTACCCTGGTTTTAGTTTTTACCTCTGCATAAGATTCCCTGCACTCTGCCCAAAGTTTGGCTATGAGTCTCAGCATCTGCTTTGATACTCTGCAGGGTAGAGTCTTTCAGAGGTCCTCTGTGGTAGGCTCCTATCCTGTTCCCTGTTATCCTGCTCTTCTGATGTCCATTCACTTTGCCCTTCTGAATGAGGATGGAGTATCTTATCCAGCCCTCCTCCTTGCTTAGCTTCTTTAGGTGTACAGATTTTAGTATGCTTATCCTATATTATATGTCTGATACCCACTTGTGAGTGAATATATACCGTGTGTGTCTTTCTGCTTCCTGGAATAGCTCACTCAGGGTGATGTTTTTCAGTTCCCACCATTTACCTCAAATTTCATTATTTTCTTGTTTTTAATTGCTAAGTAGTATTCCATTGTGTAAATGTACCACAATTTCTGTATCCATTCCTCAACTGAAGGCAATCTGAGTTGTTTTCAACTTCTGGCTATTACAAATAAAGCTGCTACAAACATGGTTGAGCAAATGTCCTTGTTGTATACATCAGCGTCTTTTGGATATATGCCTAGGAGTGGTATAGCTGGATCTTGAGGTAGCATAATTCCCAGTTGTCTGAGAAAGCTCCAGATTGATTTCCAAAGTAGTTATACAAGTTTACATTCCCACTAGCAATGAAGGAGGGTTCCCCTTTTTCCACATCCTCTCCAGCATGCATTGTCACTTGAGTTTTTCATCTTAGCCATTTTGATGGGTGTAAGGTGGAAACCTCAGGGTCCTTTTGATTTGCATTTCCCTGATGACTAAGGATGTTGAACATTTCTTTAAGTGTTTCTCTACCATTCGATATTCCTCTGTTAAAAATTATCTGTTTAGCTCTATACCCCCCTTTTTTATTTTTTTTCTTTATTAATTACACTTTACTCACTTTGTTTCCCCCCCCATGGTACCCTCCCTCCTCCCCTCTGCCTGCATACCCCTCCCCAAGTCCGCTGATAGGGGAGGACTTTTTTTCCTTCCTTCTGATCCTAGTCAGTTAGGTCTCATCAGGAGTGGCTGCATTGTCTTCTTCTGTGGCCTGGTAATGCTGCTTCCCCCTCAGAGGGAGGAAATAAAGAGCAGGCCATTTTTTAATTGGATTACTATATTTGTTGCTGTTTAACTTCTTTAGTTCTTTATATATACTGGATATTAGCCCTCTGTCAGATATAGGGTTGGTATAGATCCTTTCCCAATCTGTAGGCTGTCGTTTTGTTCAGAGGACAGTGTCCTTTGCTTTACAGAAGCTTTTCAATTTCATGAGGTCGTAGTGTTGATCTTAGAGCCTGTGCTGTTGGTGTTCTGTTCAGGAAGTTGTCTCTTGTGCCAATGAGTTCTAGGCTCCTCCCCACTTTTTCTTCTAACCAATTTAGTGTGTCTGGTTTTATGTTGAGGTCTTAGATCCACTTGGATTTTAGTTTTGTTCAAGGTGATAAGTATGGATCTATTTGCATTTTTCTACATGTAGACATCCAGTTAAACTAGCACCATTTGTTAAAGATGCTATCTGTTTTCTATTGTATGTTTTTGGCATCTTTGTCAAAAATCAGGTGTCCATAAGTGTGTGGGTTTATTTCTGGGTCTTCTTTTCGATTCCATTTATCAACCAGGCAAGTTCAATGCCAGTACCTTATTTTAAAGCATACCTGAAGTATCTCTCAAAATGAAAATGGCACTAGAGAATGCTACATTCTGTTTTCTTCTAACCCAATAAACTCTTAGGTAGGAGGTACCATAACACACACAAAAAATAACTATAACATTGACCTTTGATGATTTCCCCAGTGTGCATTTGCTAGAAGAAACCATGTGTACTGTGAAACAGTAGTGCTGCCATGTCGAGGACATTCTGGGTTTACAGAAGAGGGAGTTACAGACATTGTGTGTATGCTGACCTTATAAAGTCACCACCATAAACTTTTTTAGCTCTCACACTGGAAACTGTTCAACCTGGGATGTTTGTTAAAGTAGTCTTCAGTTTTACACTTATCTCAAATGCTTTTATTAGTTTTTTAAAGAGGTTTATTTATTTAAAGAGAGAGTACACTGAACTGACTGGGACAGTTCTCTCTATAAACCTCAGCTCAAGCCTCTGTTGGCAGCATCCTAGCCCTCATTCTCTATGAACATTACTAAGTTGGCTGGCACTCTTTACATGGGATTATATCTTGTCTTGTCTCGTAATGCTTTAACTCACCATCCTTTTGACAGCTTATGGCTTACCTAGTTTTTTATTTGTGTTTAATATGATGGCAAAAAAAAGGCCTAACTTGTGAAAAAATGTGTTAGCATGATGCCTATTTTGCATTTATAGGTGAGATTTTTTTTTAATAAATAAAATCCATTAAAAATCTAATCTTTATTTTAAATTAATGCAAAGTCTGAATTTCTTTCTGGGCATAAGTATTTTAAATATTCAGTCACTCAGAAGAAAATTTTAAAGTAGAAAAGTTCAGCTGCTTTCTATCTCATAAGATGGTGCTTTAAAAATTCAGGAAGCCAGACCAAAGTTAAAGCTTAGAGCCAAGGAAGCAGTGCTGTTGGTATGCTTCAGCAGGGAAACAAGAACACTCAAGAATGTGAAACCTTGTTTTATTTAGAAGAATTACCAATATTCCCAATCTTGCTGTGTGTTCTAGAAAGGGCGTGAAGGAGAGGACATGCTCAGCTGCTAAGTTGTGAAGAATAAGACAGTTCACAAACAGTTGGTGGGAACAAGAGTGGTGGTTTCTTAGCTTGTATGCTTAGCAGAATGCTGAGGTATTTTTCTACTCAGGATATGATGCAAAGGCTCTTGAGCCTCGGGGATGGGGGGTGGGGAGGGAATGCAGTAAGAACCTATTCCTGGTCAGCAATACTTACCTTAAGAGGAACAACTGTGGAAGCCCAGAAACAGGATGGTGAGATGGATGTCTTGGAAAAAGGAAAATACCTAAGTTTTAGAGCAGCTGAGATTGATCAGAAAGCTGTGAGCTCATACATATTACAAAAGATCAATCAAAACTGTATCCCCACTCCGGGTCTGCATGCTGCCCAGTCTATCAAATGGAATTTATCCTCACAAATGGATGTTATAAATATCTCAACCATGGACCTAATTAAATAGCTGATAACAATGGGTATTATTTTTAAAGTGTAGAAATTTAAAACCAACATATTTTTCTTTTCTGTGTAGGTCGTTTATATGCTATGCAAACCGGAATGAAGATTGATAGCAAAACTCCTGAGTGTCGTAAATTTTTGTCAAAATTAATGGATCAGTTAGAAGCTGTAAGTTAAACACTAATAACTTACTCCCTGGCTGTCTTATGTGGTACTTTATTTTATATGTTTGTGCATTTATTTGTTATCATTTCAGTTCTTTGCCAAGCAACACTTAGCAATGTCATTATACCTGAAGAAAAATGAGGAATTTTAAAAACCCACAATATATCCAGGGGAGTTTCATATATAAAGTAGGCTCAGTTATTGTTGCATACACATTATTTTAAATGGCTTTCTGATCATCCTTTCAAAAGTAGTGAGGCCTTTCTTGCCTTCCTTCATATAATCATATAGATTAAAGATTGAATAATTCCTAAATAGCTCTTCCTGGAATAAAATGGGCTTTTTACTGAAAGGAATCATGAAGAAGGTGCTACCAGTTGCTTATTCTCTCCTTCCTCTTACTGGCAGGCCAGACATACTCCTCTCCTTGTTAGATGCTGATAGGTGATAACGAGTCTCACCGCCAACATGGTGTACCTTTACAGGTCTCTGTGCAAGTCATTTGAAGGAAAGTTAAGTTGTTTGATTTGAGTGTCATTGAATAAGAATGAAATGCCACATATTAACAGTCTTAGTAACCAGGATTCACTCAGTAAGTCCTGTGCCCTGATATCCTGGCATCATGGTTAATTTGTATTATCACTTGACACAGCCTAAATTGATCAACTTGGCCTGTGGGCATATCTGTGAAGAATTGTCTTGATTGATAATTGGTGCAGGAGGTCTCAGCCCACTGTGGGTGGTTCTGTCCTCAGGCAGGTGGGTGTGAGCTGTATAAGAAAGCTTACCCATGAGAGCCAGAATGCAAGCCAGTTGTCATTCTTTCACAGTTTCTGCTCTAGTTTTTGCCTTCAATTCCTGCCTGACTTTCTCCTTTAATGAGGGATTATGACCTTAAGCCAAAGGTCATAAGTGTAAACCAAAGAAACCCTTTCCTTTCCTCACTTTCCTTTTGGTCATTTTTGTTTGTTTGTTTGTTTTTTGTTTGTTTTGGTTTTTTTTTGTTTTTTAATTGCAGTAGCAGAAAAGCAAATTTATCTCTTAAGAAAGGCAAAAACAATGACACTGTCATGCATCCACTCCAAGTGTTTCTTTGACAGCAATGTGCTTACTTTCTGTCTATTTGGGTATTTTTTTAATTGGATAACTTGCATAATATGGGGTAAGGAAAAAAAAGTTAAATATACTAGAATTAAATTATGTTATCCCAGTACTTTTAACATTTTCATTGATTTTCTTTATTATTCCAAAGTTACTATTCAGATGAAAGGGCCAGTCCAAGGTAAAAACTTAGAGCCCAGGTAACTGGCAGCCATAGATATAGTAATAACAGCTAAAAGCTTCAGGATAAGGAGAACTCAGTTCTTTGCAATGCATATAATCACATTTATGTGGGGACTCATCAAGAGTTTAAATGTCAAGCCAGGTAAGTTCATTCACGTGAATGCATACCTCTGTGATTCAGTGTTTGCATTATACTTTAAAGCTTTCAAGTATGTCATGACCATCAGATATTTTTGCTTGATGAGAATAAAATGAAGTATCATTATTTTCACTAGATTTTTAGGAGTGAATCTGTTTTTGCAAATCAATTTGCAGCTTGAACACAGTAAATTGCATTATGGTCATTTGGGTGTGTTGCTGCTGTTGTACAGAATAAGATTAGCCAAAATCACCTTAAATTCCAACAGTATGTGTATCTCTTCTAAACTTTAAATTATTCTATTTTAATTTAAGAGTGTTGCTTTGTAGGCAATCCTGAGATTGTGTGTATGTGTACTTGTGCATGCACACAAGTATGTCTGCTGGCATGCATGTGTTCCACATGTGTGCAGTGCTTGCAGAAGAGGCCACCAGATTTTCTTGAACTCGAGTGACAGATTGTTATAAGCCGTGATGTGGATGTTGGAAACTGAAGTCATGTCCTCTGTAAGAACAAGTATACTTTGCCCTTGAGCTACCTTTCCAGTCAACCTGTAATAGAAACATTTTAATGATATGGTTGCCTAAATATGATGGTCCTGCAAACAATTTTATTCTAACATAATGGTCCTGGACAAGAGTAACAGATTTTAATCTTGATTTTAAAATATTTCAAATTGCTGTGTATGTAGTGGATGGATATGCAAATTGAAAATCTGCATAGTTGTAAATTAATATTGACTTGGGCTGTATGTGTCTAGATTTAAAATAATCTGGTAATGAGTTTGTCACTTTCTACCACTCCTAGTTTGGTGTGAGCTTTCCTTTAAACGTTATTGTGAAGGCACGATTTTAGGACACAATGATGCTTCTAGTCTTTTTTTTTTTCATTTGATGCAAACTGAAATGGGACAAAGTTATTTTTAAATCATGTGCTTGAGAAGCTTCCAGTTCCATTTTAGGGTAGTTGTTAGTAACTGGGTATTGTTTAGCATGGTTTGATTCTTCATGAGGATACTTGGCAATGTTATCTTTTGGTTTTGGTTGGTTTTATCTTTAGAGCTCAGTTATATTCTGCATCTGTGAGGGAATCCATTTGTTTAAATACAGGAGGCTGGAGTAAACCTGTTCTTATAAGATTTGCTGTTACAACTTTTATTGAAATGAAAGTAATGTTCTTAAAGTAATTATTAGAATTATGTTTTAAGCAGACCCTCCTGAGAATACACAATCATGAGCTATGTGTCTCATTTTATTTTAGCTTAAGAAACAGTTGGGGGATAATGAAGCTGTTACTCAAGAAATAGTTGGTTGTGCCCATTTGGAAAATTATGCTTTGAAAATGTTCTTGTATGCAGACAATGAAGATCGAGCTGGACGATTTCACAAGTAAGTGAGGATAGGAAAATTAAAACTCTTTATAAGTTTGGCTTCCTTCTGACCAGAATTACCTGGTTTTCAGTTGAATACTTTCTGACCACCAGAGTAATGGTTTATATATTTTGGAATTGTAAATCCACAGTGATTTTTATTTTAGGTTACAAATGTGGGCCTTTCTATTTGAAGAGAATAACTTTAGGAATTACCTATGTCAAACTCATTTTTCAGTAAATTTATCCCAATTAGACATTCTTTATATTTAGTAAAAATAGTCAAAACAAATTTGTCTTGATGAAGTCAATTTTAAAAACGTAACAGCCTAGCTGGATGTAGTGCCACAAAGCTATTATGACATAGGGGGATCATCAAAAATACAATACCAACAGAGACTGCATTGCAAGACACTACTTCAAAAAACAAGGGACCACAAAAAAACAAGAGTAACTTAGATGATTGATTAGTCATTATTATAGTATTAAAAACCATAACAATACATGATGATTTGATAGAGTCAGGCAGTACTACATTGCTAAAAGAGGAAAAACAAAACAAAACAAAAAAACCCCACAAAACTCCACAGTAAAACTTTGCAGCATTTACTTACATTGTGTTAGTTTTTTCTGATAACATTAGCAATTGGCTCCCGTTTGTGTTCGTAGTACAGATTTTATTTCAATTGTAGTGTTTTTAAATATATTTGTTTCTTACAGGTACATGACTGCATTTCAGTGTTTGCTTGTTTGTTTTTAGTTTAAATAACAACACTTTTTCTCTTCCAGAAACATGATCAAGTCCTTCTACACTGCAAGCCTTTTAATCGATGTCATAACAGTATTTGGTGAACTCACAGATGAAGTGAGTAAACACTTTTTACTGTGTTTACTGTAGCTGAAGCTGAGTAATGTTGCTTTTTATCACTTTTCTGATTGCATTATTTATTCTGACCAGCATGTCTGTCAGAAGTGTAAAGAAAGCAAAAAGGGTAAATTGTTTTCTGGCTAGCTTTTGAAAATCAAATGAAACAACACTTTACACAAAGGATCACAATGCTTTGAAAAATATTTGATTTCTCGTTATAGATAGATAGATATCAGAAAGTAATGTAATTGTAAATACAAGTATTTAAAGAAAAAGAATGGTTTATATCTGGGTCTTCGATTCAGTTCCATTGATCCACCAGTCTGTTTCTATGCCAGTATCATGCAGCTTTTTTTATTGTTGCTCTGTAGTACAGTTTGAGATCAGGGATGGAAATACCTCTAGAACATCTTTTATTGTAGAGGATTGTTTAGCTATTCTGGGTTTTTGTTTTTGTTTTGTTTTGTTTTATACTATTTTTTAATTGTTCTTTTTTTAATTTTTTTTTTTAATTACACTTCACTCATTCTGTATCCCCCCATAAGCCCCTCCCTCCTCCTCTCCCGGTCCCACCCTCCCCCCCTTTCTGCATGCATACCCCTCCCCAAGTCCACTGATAGGGGAGGTCCTCCTCTCCTTCTCTCTGATCTTAGTCCATCAGTTCTCATCAGAAGTGGCTGCATTGTCAGGGTTCTAGGTTACCTCCACAGATAGTCCTTGGTTGGAGTATGAGTCTCTGGGAAGTTCCCTGTATTCACATTATCTTGTTCTGTTGCTCTCCTTGTGGAGTTCCCGACCCCTCCAGCTCTCACTATTTCCCACTTCTTACATAAAATTCCATTCACTCTGCCCATCAGTTGGCTATCAGGCTCAGCATCTGCTTTGACAGTCTGCGCGGCAGAGGTTTTCAGAGGCCCTCTGTGGCAGGTTCCTAGGTTGTTTCCTGTTTTTCTTCTGATGTCCATCCTCTTTGCCTTTCAGGATGGGGATTGAACATTTTAGTAGGGTCCTCTCTTTTGCTTAGTTTGTTTAGATGTACAGATTTTAGTGGTTTTATTCTATGTTGTATGTTTATATGAGTGAGTATATACCATGTGTGTCTTTTTGTTTCTGGGACAACTCACTCAGGATGATCCTTTCCAGGTCTCACCATTTACCTGCAAATTTCATGATTTCCTTATTTTTCATTGCTGAGTAATACTCCATTGTATAGATGTACCACAGTTTCTGCATCCATTCTTCAGTTGAGCGGCATCTGGGCTACAAACATGGTTGAGCAAATGTCCTTTTTGTCTACTTGAGCCTCTTTTGGGTATATGCCTAGGAGTGGTATGGCTGGATCTTGAGGAAGCGCTATTCCTAGTTGTCTGAGAAAGCGCCAGATTGATTTCCAGAGTGGTTGTACAAGTTTACATTCCCACCAGCAGTGGAGAAGGGTTCCCCTTTCTCCACAACCTCTCCAGCATGTGTTGTCCCTTGAGATTTTCATCTTGGCCATTCTGATGGGTGTAAGGTGAAATCTCAGGGTTGTTTTGATTTGCATTTCCCTAATGGCTAATGAGGTTGAGCATTTCTTTAAGTGTTTCTCTGCCATTCGATATTCCTCTACAGAGAATTCTCTCTTTAGCTCTGTTCCCCATTTTTTAAGTGGATTACTTGGTTTGCTGCTTTTCAGCTTCTTTAGTTCTTTATATATACTGGATATGAGTCCTCTGTCAGATAAAGGGTTGGTGATGATTCTTTCCCAATCTGTAGGCAGTCGCTTTGTTTTGATGACTGTGTCCTTTGCTTTACAGAAGCTTTTCAGTTTCATGAGGTCCCATTTATTGATTGTTGCTCTTAGAGCCTGTGCTGTTGGTGTTCTGTTCAGGAAGTTTTCTCCTGTACCAATGAGTTCTAGTGTATTCCCCACTTTTTTTTCTAGCCGATTTAATGTGTCTGGCTTTATGTTATTCCGTATGAAGTTGAGAATTTTTCTTTCAAGCTCTGTAAAGAGTTGTTTCAGTAATTTGATGGGAATTGCATTGAATCTGTAGGTTGCCTTTGGTAAGATGGCCATTTTTACTGTTAATCTTACTGAGCCATCAGCATGGGAGATCTTTATCTTCTTCAGTTTCTTTCTTCAGAGACTTGAAGTTTTTTTCATACAAGTCTTTGACGTGTTTGGTTAGAATTATACCAAGGTACTTTATATCCTTTGTGGCTATTGTGAAGGTAAAGGATATTGTTTCCCTAAATTCTTTCTTAGCCCTTTTGTCTTTTGTATACTGGAGGGCTACTGATTTTTTTGAGTTAATTTTGTATCCGGCCAGTGCTGAAGGTGTTTATCAGCTGTAGGAGTTTCCTGGTAGAATATTGGGGTCACTCACGTATACTGCACATATATATATACATGTATGTGTGTGTGTATATGTACCATATATCATATATATATATATATATATATATATATATATATATATATATATATATATATATAT